CTTTATTATTAATTTAAATATTTTTGTTTATTAATTTTTATTTTTTATTTTGACATAATAAATTAAAATATTATTTTTCATTTTAATAAATTTTTCTTTTTATAAATTTTTAATTGGAAAAAAACTAAATCTGTGTTTTTTGTGTTATTTGCATTTTATTTCTCTAAATCTAAGCCCAGTTTCTACATCATTAGCCTTCAAAGTGTGTGCAGAGGAAGTTCATTAGAGTTTAAACATCTTCACTCACAATTCTGAGTGTTTGTTTTTCATTAAACATCAGAAAAGAAGAAGGAAGCTGCGGGATGATGAGCTGAAACAGGGAAAAGCAGCAGGATAATGAGTTTTCCTGTGTGTGTGTGTGTGTGTGTGAGTGTGTGTATATGTGTGTATTTTTAATATATACGTGTGTGAGTGTAATTCAGTGACCCTTGCGTTATGTACAACACACCCACAGGCGATACATTAGCCTCGCCGTGCAGTGCAATGCATCCTGGGTAATTACCGGTGTGTCGGCAGCTGTGTTTATCATTAAAAAGAGGAGAAAGGCTTTTTGTGTGGTGTTAAATGGCAGCAGTCTCCGCGTTTCCTCCTGAATGATTGTGTTTGTGAGTCGCCGTCAGATGCTGATATTAAACTCTATTGTGCTCTGATGTCTGCTTGAATGTCAGGTGGATTGTTGGAGCTTCTAGCGGCGTCAGGTTTCTGTCATAATTATTATGCAGAGACTATTTTTAGTCAAAAGGAGGTGTACATTAAAGGACATTATGGCTGCGTGTCAGACTAAAATCATTTTTTTATTGTTCATGACTTTTGAAAAGATGGGCGACGTGGTGGCACAGTCGGTTAGTGCTGTCGCCTCACAGCAAGAAGGTCACTGGTTCGAGCCTCGAATAGGTCAGTTGTCATTTCTGAGTGAAGTTTGCATGTTCTCCCTGCGTTTGCATGTGTTTGGACTGTGGGGGAAACCAAAGCACCTGGAGGAAACCCACACTAACATGGGCAGAACGTGCAAACTCCACACAGAAATGCCAACTGAACCAACCGGGATTCGAACCAGTGACCTTCTTACTGTGAGGCAATTGTGCGCCACCGCGCCGCCCTATCTGCTAAAATTGTAAATGTTATTTGCTAAATTTATATATTATATTTGTATATTTTATTATAATTGTTTAATTTATTATTATAATTAAATATATTTGGTATTGTATTAATATTATAACAATTACATAATTGTAAAGTAAAAATTGTAAAAATATATCGTATATATTTAATTATTTATTCATATATT